GCAGGACGAACGACGGATGAATCAGGAGGAGGACGAGGAGGAGGGAGTCATGAGGAAGAGTGGGGAGGAGGGGGAGCGGGAGGAGCAGGAGGAAGGACGGATGAATTAGGAGGAGGACGAGAAGGAGGGAGGTCTGAGGGGGAGTGGGGAGGAGGGGGAGCAGGGGAGCAGGAGGAGCAGGAGGGGGGAAAAGGGGAAGGAGGTGGAGGGAGGAGGGAGAGGAGGAGGAGAGGAGGAGGAGGAGGAGGAGGAGGAGGAGGAGGAGGAGGAGGAGGAGGAGGAGGGAGGAGGAGGAGGGGAAGGAGGTGGAGGGGGTGAGAGGAGAGGAGGAGGAGGAGGAGGAGAGGGAGGGAGGAAGGAGGAGGAGGTGGAGGCGGAGGACGAGTACGAGGACGAGAGGAGGAGGACGGAGGAGGAGGGGAGGGCGGGAGGGAGGCCAACGACGGCAACGACGACGGCGGGAGGCGGGGAGCGGCGCACGTGCCGCCGCGGGCCCTGCCGCCGGAGCGCCCGCCAGGCGGACAGGGGAGGCAGCGTCGAGGGCTGACGAGGCTCGTCGCGTTCTCTCCCCCCCCTTAGATGGGGTCCTCCTAGACGGCCTCCTCCTCCTCCTCCTCCTCCTCCCCCTCCTCCTCCTCCCTCATCCTCCCTCTCCCTCCTCCCTCTCCTCCTCCTCCTCCTCCTCCTCCCTCCTCCTCCTCCTCCTCCTCCTCCTCCTCCTCCTCCTCCTCCTCCTCCTCCTCCTCCTCCTCCTCCTCCTCCTCCTCCTCCTCCTCCTCCTCCTGCTCCCTCCTTCTCCCTCCTCGTCCCTCCTGCTCCTCCCCCTCCTCGTCCCTGCATCCGGGAAGCGTTAAGTCGGGGAAGGAACCATGACACGATCATGAAAACTCGGAGGTCCGCGCGGATTTCTCGGATCGGCGTTGGGGACCCCTGGCGGCGCCTCCGGCGCCGCCCCTGGCGCGCTCCACGCGCCAGGAAGGGGAGTCCAGCGCGGATCCGAGAAATCCGCACGGAGTGCCTAAATTCAGGCGATCGCAAACATGGATCAAGGAGGCGTGTATTAGCGACGGGTCGCATCTCCATGGGAAATCGCGGAGTTCCGCCGCCGAACGAAGTGGCACCTGCCGCATTTTGGGGAGGGCGCTTCCCCGGATCCATGGATTTGGCGACCGCGCGCCAAATCAGTGGATCGCTAATCCATGTTTGCACGCCCCCGATAAATCGGGGAAACGTGAGACTCGAGTACGCCGGAACTCGGGTTTGCCGACGCTTTTTGACGAGCGCGTCCCCCGGATTTTGACGGCCCAGTTGTCGTGGGGCGTCTGCAGCGCGAGCTCGCGTTAGATTCCAGATTGGGCCCCGTCTCTTTGACGACGGCCCCGTCAGGCCAGCCCGAGTACCCCGAACCCGAGTCTGACGCGTCCACGACTGCAGGCTGCGGAAGCGGCAGAGACGGCGGGCCCCACGGGGGGGCAGGCAGAGGGAGCGGGCCTTCTCTCAGAGGGCGCAGGGCGCAGGGGGCTGCTCTCCGCAGACGCCGCGGCTCCCGCGGAAGACGCGAGGGCCTCGAGAGGCCCCGCCGCTTGCTGATCGGGACGACCGACATGGGCACGGAAAGAATGGGTACAATGCCCAGCAGCAGTTCCTGTTCATTTTGAGCAGGACTCGCTGTCCGCGCCGCCGCGGCCCGTGTCCACTTAAGACAGGAGGCCGCCTGCCCAACAGCGGCCGCTGTTGGTTTGGGACAACACTTGTTGTTGGGCATTGTACCCATTCTTTCCGTGCCCATTTCGGGCGTCCAAAGCTGAGCAGGCTTGCCCCCCCTTCCCACTTCCCCCCGTGGTCCCGCCGCCGATCGGGGCAGAGTTCCGGGTTCGGGCGGGGCTCGCTGTTCCGCGCGTCCGTCCCTGGGTTCTCTCTGCGGCACGCTTGCGTGCACCCCGGCGCAGCTGGTGCTCCACAGCGGAGTTGTTGGTATCAAAGTTTCCTACACGTCAAGACGTTGACCGTGGTACTGCCCATCGCCCCGAGAGGTTGGGCGGGCGTCGGGGGCTCCCTGTCGAGCCTCCCGTCTCGCCCCCCTCCTCCTCCCGAGGATCACTCATGGACGGGTCTGAGAAGCAGGCTCTCGTGACTAGATCTAATATATACATACATACGCACGTACGTATGAACGTACATACATGTATACACTTAGATCTTCACACATACGTACACATACAGATATACATGCATACATACAGACAGTCATACCTGCATACATATGTACATACAATCATACATGTATACGTATATGCATATATACATACATACATACATACAGACATACATACATACATACATACGTACATAGTTACATACGTACATACGTACATACATACATACATACACATATGTATTCATATACATATATATATATACATACATGCATGCATGCATGCATACATACACATACACATATACATTCACACATACATATACATATACATATACATATGCATGTACATAATCATAGACATATGCATGTTCATATGCATACGCATGCATACATACGTACATGCATACATGCATACAAGCATACACGCATACACATATATATATGTATATATATGTATGTATGCATACATACATGCATACAGGCATACATGCATGCATACATTCACCGATACGTGTATATATAATATATGTAAATATACATATACACACAAACATACAAACCTAAATGCATGCATGCATACATACATACATGCGCACATACAGACATCCATCCATCCATACATACATACATGCATACATACACTATTTCTCCCGTATCGTTAATCCTCTTCCCAGGATCGAAATTCCAGGATGCGGGGGTCATTTGGGTTGTGTGGCCACAGCCGGAGTCGCATCGAAATTCTCTCGAGGCGAAGAAAGAGGGTCGTTTGTCTGGTTTGCGGACAGTGTGCGGATTGTAGCTCCAGTGCCCCATAGGGACATCCCAGGACCATGTGTCCCGTTCATCTTCCTCACTTGGGAAGCTAGGTTGTTCGACGTAATCCGTCATTGCTCAGGCTTCACAGGATTTCGCTTGGCATTGCAAAGTAGAGGGACAGGTGGAGAGGGGAGGGCGCGTATGGGGAACTTCATCCCGTTGTTAGCATGCCTCGTTATCTTGCCCTTTCCGTATCATTAACTACCCCCTCCATGCTATTCATCTTTCGTTTCCCCGCCATCGTGCCTTCCTTTTCGAGTTCCAACTCTTTTCCCCGTCAACTACTATCACCAACTACCACACTCCTTTCTCTGGCTGATCGTATCACCATTACTCTCAGATTACTTCCTCCGCCCCGAGCCAACAAAAACACCAAAACCAGCAAACGAGCGCGGGATCCCCCGGCCCCGATCCGCTCGAACTCGGCCCCCAGACGCCTCGCGGGGCCCGTCCCAGCAGGTTCTCAGAGCTGCGTCGAGCCGTGGCGACGGAAGGCGCCACGGAGTGCCTGAAACCCTCCGACATTTCCATCCACCCCCGATCTTATTCCTCCTCGTCGTCGTCGTCATCATCGACATCACCGTTACGTCGTCGCCGTCATCATCGTCACCATAATCATTCACTCATCCTCGTCCTCATCCGCAGCATCATCATCAGCAGCAGTAGCATCATCATCATCATCATCATCATCATCATCATCATCATCATCACATCATCAGCAGCAGCATCATCATCAGTTTGCATCATAGCTTACCGTCATCAGCATCGTCAGCATCAGCATCACCGTCATCGTCATCGCCATCGCAATTACTATCATAAGCATCATCATCACCATCATCAGCATCGTTATCATCATCATCACCAGCATCATCATCATCATCATCATCATCATCATCATCATCACCATCGTCACCATAGTCATCGACTGTTGCTCTGTGAATCGGGTTATTTCTGCGTGTAGGCTGCGTCCGCCCACCGGTGCTTTCACGGCGCTGGCACTGAATGTGCGTGAGCAGGTAGGCATTCGCCCGAGAAAGTTGCCCGGGGGGAGGGATCGAGGCCTCCCAGATGGGGTCGGAGCAGATGGGGTCGGAGGATCGCGCCGCACCGCCGATGCATCGCCGATGCGGCTCGACGTGGAGCCCGATTTGCTTCACGTCGACGCCGCCGATGCATCGCCGACGTCGACGATGCATCGCCGATGCATCGTCGATGTATCGGCGATGTATCGGCGATGCGGCGCGATCCTTCGACCCCATCTACTCCGACCCCAGCTAGGAGGCCTCCAGGGAGGGAGCAGGGGTGTCCGCGGTTCGGTCGGTTCGGCTGCTCCGAAGCGAGTTGCGTTCGGTCGTGTTAGCTTTTCAGCTAGCCGCATGTACCATGTATCTGAACGAAGTGTTCCTCTCGTAGCGACTTCGATTACAGTCAAGACGCTGAAATTAGGAACAGTTTGGGTTCGGAAGGGGCTCGATGTTCCTTAGGTCCCCCCAGTGCTGTTCCTCTTGCCCTCCTGGGGCACGGAGGCGCTTACAGGGCCACGAAGGGGCTCCGTTCCTCATTCAGCGTTCCTTCTTTCAGCAGCCCGACTGCACTGTCGCAGTATCCAGCTCATCAGTGAAGGTAAAACTCGCTCTCGCTCTCGGTCCAGTCGGTCCAGTCGCTTTGCGGTTGTGCCCTCGCTCTCGGTCCAGTCGGTTTCGATCTCGCTCTCGGTCCAGTCGGTCTGCGGCCGTGTTGTCGCCGTGGACGGCCCCCGGGGAGGGCCGAGGGCGCCAGCATGGGGAGCTGCGCCGCTCCTCCCCCCCCCCCTTGGATGCTGCCTGCCGGCCCGCCGTCCTCGCTCCGCTCCTGGCGCAGGGGGAGGGAAGGGGGAGGGGTAGGCAAAACCACCTGGGCTAAATATAATTCGTGTAATTGGCCAAATGTATCGTTTAGACTCTTTAATTCAAATCAATTCACATGGAGGACTTAGGCAAGGGGATTACACGAATTATATTTAGCCCAGGCTCGATCATTGTTGCCGATGTTGTTGTTGCCGATGTCATGCCTTGCTCAGGCCATGGCACAGGCCTTTTGGCTGTGTTCGCACCCCGATGGGTCCGCTCGGGACCCACAGCGCGCCACCTCCGCGTATTTGAGGCTCTCGGCCCCCGCATGGCTGCAGACGGAGCTGGACGCTGCTAGGGGGCCAGGGACGGCCGCCAGATTGCTGGCTGTGCTCGGCGGTGGCGCTGCGCACAGGGCGGGCGCCGGCCGCCGCGCGAAGGACGCCGTCTTTCTCTCACCCCCCCCGTGCACGAGGGGGGCCCGGAGGAGAAAGAGGGCGGTTTTGGGGGGAGGAGGGAGAGAGAGGAGTGGGAATAGGATGGCGATGAGGACGAGGACAGGGACGGCAATGGGACTGGGGAGGAGGACGTGGTCGACGGGCAGCGCCCCCCCGACTTCATTTTGCGATGCCGCAGTGGCCACGCAGTCTCTACCCCCTACCTGGGGTGGGTCGCTAAAGCCGCCAGTCTAGCTAGCCTAACGGCCCTAACAAGCCTTGCCCCCTTCCCTCCTGCCCTCCCGCCCTCTCTCGTCGGCCCCCCCCCGCAGGGCTTCGACGCCGTCGCCAAGCTCCACGCCCTCGTGCTGGTGGAGGCGCTGGAGCGCGTGCCGCTGAGCCGCGAGGCCAGCCTTCGTGTCCTGCCCCTCGTCCTCCTGATTTTTCCTCCCCCCCCTCATGCCCCCCTCATTCCCAATCGGTTCGCATCGATCCTTGCTCTGAGCCCAGGGGCGCGGGGCAGTAGGATCGAGGAGGAGGAGGAGGACGAGGAGGGAGGGAGGGAACGTCTGCCCTGGCAAGGTCGACATCCTGCAACAGTACTACGACTGGCCGTCGGACGGCTACCTGGTGAGAATCAAGGCTCAGCGGGCCCTGATCGAACATAATGTTGCCCCCGTCTGCTCTGTGCTCCTCCCTCCTCCTTCTCCTCCTCCTCCTCCCTTCTCTTCCCCTTTCTCCTCCTCCTCCTCATCAATCCCTCCTTCTCCTCTTTGAATCCTGGGCCCCTCCCCCGTGCCACGCGCCCCCCTAGCCTGGCCCCTCCGACAGAGCCCCGCAGGGTCCCGTCGATCAGTTCTTGATGGGTCGGGTCTGGGGGCATGGGGTTGGAGGCGGGGGAGCGGCGGATGGGGCCCCCCATCTGCAGGCCGCGCGGCAGCTCGAGGACCCAGAGCGCATCAACTACCGGCTGCTGCCAGGGACTGACAAGTCCGTGAGGGTGGAGTCGACGCAGCCTCTGTTCAAGCCGGACTGGGTGAGCACTGGCTTAGATCCTGGCGCGCTGAAGTTCGTGAATTTTGGAGATCGCACGCCCTCGTGCCCGAGTCCGAGGGCGCCAAGGACCCCCCCACAATCCCCGTCGAGTTCTTTGGTGGGAGAGATCCTGGGGGGCGACGGCGAGGTCCTGGGCTGCCTGGACGGCCTGGACCTGGACCTGGACGTGGACCGCGGCGACGGCGCTGACGACGTCGGCCCGCCGATCGACTCAGTCGCAGGTGAGCGGCTGCAAGGGGCCAGGGCCAGGGGACCGGAGGCGATTCAGATGTAAGAAGGCGGCCGTCAGCCGTCCATCGGTGCCCAAGTCCCCCCTCATTCGGTTCCCCAGGGCCCCAGGGAAGCAACGAGGATGAAGAGGTGCAATAGCGGGGGGCTGGCCCTGGGCCAACAGTCACTTCCCCCTCCTCTCCTTTCCGCTCTCCCTCTCCCGCCCCCGCGGCTTCTGTCCCCGGCCCCTCCCTCTCAGAAAGGGAGGGGCCAGGGGCCAGGGACATGGCATGAGAGAGGGCCTCTCTCATGCCACCGTTCTTGTTTACCTGAGGTGCATTGCGCGACTGGGGCATCCAGGAGCCGCCAGATGGCATCCCTGCGTTGATGCTGCCCGATCCGATCGTCTTGTTGATTGAGTGCAGCAAGTGGGAGCATGCGATGTTGCTCGTCCGGTGGCGATCTTCCTCCTCTTGCTTCCCCGTCCTCCGCCCGTCGGCTACGCGCGGGAGTGACCCTTGGTAAGAGTGACCTTTGGTGCGCGGCTTTCGGGGGGCCCCGCGGGGCCCAACGCACAAGCGCGCAAGACGCTACTGTCGCGTCGCGCTCGGCGATCGGGGGACCCCAGTCACCAAAGGTCACTCCGGCGGAAGGTCACTCTTACGTGTAGTCGAGTCCGTCGTCCCTCTCACTTCTCCTCCTCCTCCGAGCCCCTGCCTCCCCCTCCCTCCTCCCTTCTTCTCCTCCTCCTTCTGCATCTCGACGGGGGGGGGGGAGGGGGGAGGGGGTCGACGAGTCGACAGGTGGCACCCCTGCTGGTCCAGGCCTACGAGACGACTCGAACCCTGTGCTGGCCCAATAGACGGCATGCCGCCGGCGGACTCGGAGGCGCAAGGGGAACTTGGCGGGGAACTTCGCCTTCTTCGCCCCCCGCAGAGGAGAGGAGAGAGGGAGGGCCCCGAGGACCGAGGGGAGGGATGAGGGATGATGAGGGAGGGAGGGATGGGCGATGAGGTGATGGAGGATGCGGCGGGAAGGAGGGCGTCCAACGGGTGAGAACCGGATGAGGATGGCACTGGCAGTAGGTGTGAGTGTGAGGCAGGAGGAAGAAGGATGTAGTTAGGACGAATCGGGAGCTGAGCAGAGGTCCCAATCTTGCTCAATTAATGGGGGCCTCGACCACTGCCCCCCCGCTTTCGGGCCAGGCTCTCACTGCGCCGCCCCCCATCCCGTGCCCTCTCTCCTCTCCCCATTCCCCATGCCGTCCCCTCTAGGCGTGGCGAGTGGTGGGCATGCACTCGGCGCCGGGCGGCGGCGCTGGCGGCGGCGACAGGCTCAGCGCCGACAGCTTGGCCGCGCTCGCCCGGCGCGTGGACGACGTCGCTGCTCGAGCGGCGCCTGCGGATCGAGGCATGGGCCCTCCAATCGGGGGGTCGAAGAGACGCGGGTTGGCGGTCCTGGACGGGAGAGGGGAGTGGAGGTACCAGGATGGAGGCGAGCGTAAGGGGAAGAGTAGGAGGCAAGAGGGAGGTTGGATGGAGGGAAACAGTGATGACGATGGGGGCCATGTACTCCGTGTTTGTGTTTCTAGCTGTTGGTGGGGGCGCGGCCTGGCCCCCTGGCACCCCTCCAGGCATCCTGGACTCAGCAGTCGCTGCGATGCGCGCGTGGCAGTTTGACTTGATGAAGTCCTCTGGAGAATTGGCAGAAAAACTTTATGGTAGATTCAGAATGGAAGCTTCGAAACTCTTGGAAGCCGTCAACCTATCCATGATGATACGGGGGGGCAGCTCTCGCCTGCACGCGGTGGTGGCGAATTCTTTAGCATTGGTCCTCCCAGACAGCGTTCGAGAGCACTTCATTTCAGGCCTGATGGGCTTACCAAATTTGAAAAGCCCTGACCCCTTACCCCCCTGGCCCGTGGACGATCCCCAGATATCCAAGCTGCCCCAGAGGCCTCGGGCCCCCGGGTCCCAAGGGGGCGGGGACGGGCCTGCTGGCTCGAATGAATTCGGGACGTTCACTTTGGTAATTGAATTGGCATATGACGCAGGCGACGTCCTGGAGGCGAGACTGAACAACAGGAAATCCTTGCCATCTGCATCGGTCATTAGACGAGCAGAACTCTCTCTAGATGTCGCCATAATGTTGATGTCGCAGGAAAAATCGAGGACGCATGCTGCCAGGTTTATGTTGTCTGATTCGAGCCCCCTGGCCGGCTATGATTGGATATGGTCCACGTATGCGGAGATCGAGAGCGCCGACCTCGTTGATGTGTGCGAGTCCGTCTGGGAGTTGCAACGTGTATTTGATGGCCATGCTGCCGCTCACGTCGGCGACGAGTCCGACGCGTGGCGGCGCCATGATATACCGCAGCATGCGAGAGATCTCCTTCCAGCTATTGCGAGGAAGATCCGCCAGAACATCAACCCTCCAGGCAAGGTGGCGGCGCTGACCGAAGGGGGGATTTGCACTGCACAACGAACCGCACCGATTAGCTTTACTTCCCCTGGGCCCTGGGCTCCTCGCGCCCCTCGGGGAGCGCAAGCTCCCTTCTCCTCCTCCTTCTCCTCATCCTCCTTCCTCCTCCTCCTCCCTGAGCCTCCTCCCTCTCTCCTCCTGTCCATCTCTCCTCTTCTCCTCTTCCCTCTCCCACTCCCGCCTCGCCTTCTGGCCTCTGCGCCTCTGCGGGGGGGGGGGCGCTGCTGCCCACGCCTCCGGCACGGCCTCTTACGTCGTGGGCCCCCCCAGAAATCCAGGGTCCAGGGTTCAAGCGGTTTAGGCACGGGGGCGTGAAAGAGCGCGGGGGGAGGGGGGATAGTCTCGATGCGGGGGGGGGCTTGATGCTAGAGATGAGGGGGCGGGTCGGAGCGGCGTGGCCCCCCAGGTGCTCTTGCAAGTGGTCATTCGGGTCTCTCAGACAAAGCAGCTGCCGAAGCATTCAAACTGCACCTGCAAAGATCTCCGGGCCACGGGGTAAATCGCGAGATATCTAAGTTCAGAGCCCACACAGGTGACATGGGGACAGAACTTGGGATTCCAAAATTCAGGGTCCACGGTGGTGCGAGTAGCTTGCTGCCTTCGTGGGTTAAGAGCGCCCTCGGTGACCCTGATGCCCCGAAAGACATTGAAGCGGGGGCTGCAGATGAGCCCGACATGGGGGACGACTTGGGGTCAGACGTGGACGCGGACCCCGCGCTGCGGCCCCCGCTTGCCGACTCGCCCGTTGAGTTCATGCCGCATGCACTGACAGTGGCTGGGATGCAACACATAACAGACAACTTGAACGCAGATGTCAATAAGGCCCCGCGGGATGATGCGAACAGGATAATCGCGCTGGCTCGGACCCCCGCGCCCCCCGCCCCACCTGGCCCTCGCAGTGACAGAGGCCGCCGAAGACCGCCCCCCCGCCAAAGCCTTGCCCGCGATGGCAGTCGTGGGCGGCGGTGGCGGGGCGGCGGCGGCGGCCCATCGCCTGGGCGACCAGGCGTGGCGTGGGCCTCGCGGCGGGGGGGGGCACGGGGCGGCGGGCTTCTGGCCCCGAAACCAGGCTCTGACTCATTGGAAGGACTTCTTCAAGAAACTGAAAATATTGGAGTCTCTCTTACGTTCATCTTTTAGAAGACAGCGTTTCATATGGACGTGTATCATGGGGTCGAGGCATGGGCATCGCGAGTCAGATTTCGACTCCTTCACCGGTTCGTTGTACGAGGCTCGCTGGCACGAGGTGGGATCGTCGCTGACGCCCTCCCTCCGCCTCCCCCAATCCCCCTCCCGTCCCCCCTCCCTGCTCCGCCCTCGGTTTCGTAGTCCTCTCCCGCTCATCCCCTTTTCTCCTTCCCCCCTCCCTCCTCCTCGTCTCGCCCCCTCGTCCCTCATCCTCTTCATCTTGGGAAGTCCACGTCTCTTGAGTGTCTCTGAAGGTAGTGGGGTTCTTGGAGTGCCTGGTGCCTTTGCTTCCAGTGCTGTCTAGGACATTCGACGTTCGGAAGTGGGATAGCGGCAAGAACCACCAGGGGCAGGATGAACCCTGCGACCACCTAGAGCAACGCGCAAGGCAGGAGCGGGCCCTCGAGCTGGGGCAATTCGACGCAGCTGCCTGCCACGCCGCACTTCAATCCCCCCTGCTGCATTATTATTCGTTCATGGTCCTTAAGTTGAACTCCATCCCCGTCAAGCTCGCCCTTGACCAGGAACGGAGCACGCCAAAATAGGGCGCGCTTACCAGGAGAAGGAGGGTAATATTGAGGTTCTGGTTTTGAAGTTCTCAGTTGTTATCGGCTTCCCGTGGGGCCCGCATCCCTCATCTCCACGGCTGGATTCGCTTCGGGCCTCCGGCCGACTTCCAGGGGCCAGGGCGGCCCAGGGCCCAGGGGTCTAGGGTCTACATATACTCGTGGAAGGGCAGGGAGAACTAGCGCCCGCAGACGCACCGTCGCTTGGAAGATAGACGCAGCCCCGCCCGACAACCCTCTCCCGTCCACCGCCCATGGCCCGGCCCGCCCGCCGCCCGCCTCGCCCCGCCCCGACGAGGGCGTCTGCCCGTGCCACCGCGACCTCCTCTTCAAGTGCACGCGCTGGGAGAGAGAGCGCGCCATGGAGGAGCATTTCGGCAAGGGGGTGGTGAGCTGCCCGATGCATCTGGGGGGCTGGAAACAATCCTCCTCCCATCCGTCTTTCCATCCCGC